ATGGTCGCTGGCCGGCCAGCGCGGTTCATCTCGGCTACTGCGCTGCAGATGATATGCGGCAGCGGGAGGAAGTGCAGCTGATCGATTCTGTGCATCTCGATGCCTTCCACATCGCCTGAAATTTTGCTTCGTTATGTTGGCCCAGTCTGAGCTTAATTGAAGTTGCATGCCCGCTTAGGCCCTGTTTTCCAGAGCACCCTATAATTCTCCGTCAGCGAAAGAGAGAGAGAGAGAAAGCCTGCACTGGGGCTTCTTGAACGCCGCTTTTGTTCAGACCCCGATTTCTATGAGAACTTTAAGAAAGGCCACTAGAAGCAAAGGACATGACCCTTAAATTGGCATCTTGGGACACTAGTTCCGTCGTAAGGTAATTTAGGGCATGAATAATTTTCACTCTGGCACTATGCACGGAGTGGACGCGCGATCGCTAGCATCTGCTTGCATGTGCGCATTTGCGCAACAGTGCAGCTTTACGGCACTATTTGCGCCTCTGGCCCCCCTTTATCTCGGATTTCCTACGAACAGGTGTCTTCAGTTGCCTCGTTCAATCCTCTCCTTTCTCATCTAGCAAAAGGCCATTCCACGCCGTCATTGCATTCTCAGGCACATTTTTATTGCCCCAGTCGCATCACTTGTCACGGAACAGCTAAATTCTCTGGCACTCTTCATATCTTTACAAGAAGGATTTTTTATTAACAGACCATTAAATTTTTTTATGAATTATAGGAAATTATGGGATGAGGTCTCGAACAAGTTTGGACATGTCTCTTGAGCTTGCAAATTATGAAAAGGCTCAGTGTGGCTGTTTTATTTTTGTACGCACGCTTATCTCTGCTCAGATAATTTATTTCGGATATTGTAAGCTAGAAAGCTGACATTTCAAGAAAAATGCTTTAAGACTGCAGTATTTTAGGTTCGCTTTCAGTGTCTTCACTTTTGGCTTTTATTGCAAAATTTGTATAATAAAGTAATTTCAGAAAAAGCATTCTGCGAGCTGAATTTTAAGGATTTAATTTGTCGCTAAGAGTGGTTAGAAATTAGCACTCGAATTTATCGCACTCTGCTTTATGTTTTTGGGTACAAATAAACGATAATATTAGAACTTTAGAACCATACAAGTTATACTTCAAATTTTTGCAACCTTGTTTTAGTTAACTATGTGTGGGACTAGTTAGTAAATTTCAATTTATTGATCCTTCACTCGAAAGCCAAATTCGAACTGATGTCATTTTCAGAAAATCTCCTGGCGAGGATTAAACATTGTAACGGCAAAATATTTACAAAGAGACTCGATTTTGTATCCGTTAGCAGGCTTCAGGAAACGTCGAGTCCAAGCATCACGCAAGACCTGCATGTACCGGTCGTTCTTTGAAGTAACGAATAGCGTTGAGGGTTTCAGGTACCCAATGTACCTCAAAAACTCAACTGCTTCTACTAATTCCACATTCCAGAAACTTGCTCGGTTCTCCTAAAAAATTCTTTCAAAGCTAATGCTGCTATGCAGCTTTGCAACAGCAAAAAGAAGGTCAAGAGAATATGTTGTTCTTCAGTTTGGATAAATTTTGGAAATCCTCAAGTCTGATATAAAAATCATACTGAAGTAATTGTAGGAATCTGACATGATTGGTGAGTGACTGGATAAGCAAATTAAGAGCTGCATGTGGTTATTCAAATGCAGTACCGTACCATAGTGTGATACGGAAAGCCTGGCGAGCCAGATTTGCATCAAGTCCGAATCAAATTTTCCTAATAATCGTGAGTCTATTTTTTGCTAATAAAACGTAAAAATGTTAAGGAAAGTGTAGGATGGAACTCACTTCCAAATGGACTGCTCTCACTGGTCCGCTTAATCAGCCGTCGAAGAGTGCAAGCGATCATTGTTTCAAGTTTTCTAACAGTAAAAAAGCCCGGGAATCTAACAAAAACTTGTGCAAGCATCTCGACCGCACTAAAAACTTCAGCCAGTCTTCTACTGACTAATCTTATGTGGTCCAATCGGTGCTTACAAAATTGAGGTCCACTATAAATTTGATGCCTTCTGCTTCAACTAAGGCTTTTTTCTGGGCTTTGCTCCTGCTCACTGTAAATTTATGTTTTCGGATCCCCAAATTTTCACTTCCAGAAGTATTTTATAGTATCTTGCCTAAAACGCGAACAATATCCCCTCCTACCAGTCCCTCAGTCCGCAGAGCGAAACAAAATTACGTTCGCTAATGCACTGGACGTAATTCATCTTCTGGGTGTGCTTATATGGATGACTACATGGATAGATATGTTTAAATATATTCATGAAAATTTCGACGACCTCAATGAAGCTCAGAAACAGTTTGTGGCCGGCGATCTTTCTATCGGCAACTCTTTGAAAGATGATTCCAAGGCATGGCGTTAACATCATTATTCATTTCCTGAAATGGTGCAAAAATTCATACACTTATCCGTTAAGTGACAGGAATATGATCAACCGCGAGAAACCACATCTTCAAGCTACCTCCGTTGCACCCCACCTTTTTCCGTTGAGTCTCTTCGAACATCGCTTGCGCTTCAACGCGCCGTTCACACCAATACGCACCCATACAGAGCCCTCATTATCTCAGATCTTCTTTAAAACAGACACATGAATAGTTACTGCGGAGATTCGCTACTGCGCGAAAATGAGTTGAAGATATAAACCGACCAAAAACGCATTCGAACAACGAGCGGTATCCCCTATATCATGGATCAGATGCGGCGACGGAGGATTCATTAGTTTGTAACTGGATTTAGCAAATCACACATGTGCCAAATAAAATTGCAATTGGATGAATCTTTTGGTCATGTTCAATTTGCTGCTCAAGCTACCGCATGACAGCGAATAACAAAAA